TTATATGGCAACTCATTCATTAGAAAACTACAAGAAAGGCTCATGGGAATATTTATCTTATATAATGGTAACATTTACTTGTGGTCTTTATCTGACAGGCAGTTTGACTGGATATAAAATCCCTGGCTCAACCTTTTTCTCCCTTATATACATTATAACATTTTCTTCTGGTATACAGTGTTGTCAAAAAGAATGCTAGCAGCTTGTTTTTCTTTCATTTCTACGTCACTGGGTCTTTGTGTATGGTTACCCAAATTCTTCTTCAAAGTGCAGTAATTTTACTATTCTTAATACTAGTTATTTTGGATCAATTTTTCAAGATATCAGTGTCTTTTCAATGTGTGGCTTCACATCTATTTCTATTTTAAGATAATATTTTTTGTTTGTTCTCTTGCTTTGGTTCTCATTTTTTGGTGAACTACCTGTTGAATCTTTTTTGTCCATTTTCAATATTTGTCATCTGCTCCTAAATTGTGATCACTCTTTTTTTTTTTACTACTTTTGATTTATAAGTGAAATAAATTTCCATTTGCTATATTTTTAAGGATTCTGAGTCTTGTGTTACTTATATCATGAGTAATAAATTTCCATTTGCTGTATTTTTAAAGATAAACTGAGTCTTAAGGATAGTGACTCAAATGTTTCTTCAGATTTTTGATTCTCTGAGTTCTACTACTTAGTAAGTTTTCATGTATTTGTGGGACTGTTTTTCAGATAAGCTTTCATTCTCTGTAGTGATGTTATTTAGCTTACTCTCTTGTTCTTACAGGCCTGTGGGATTTGACTTAATTCTTTCTTGTTGCTTTAAAAAAATTATTTATGTATATACAGAGCTGGGGTACAGGGGTAGTGACAGGATTTACCAGAGACAGAGTCAGAGTGGGGAGCAGAACAGGCAGATTAACAAAGTACACCACTGGGGGGAGCGCTGGTGGGTTAAGGACAGGTCTACCCTGCCATGTAGATCACCCCAGGGGTGGCGATCAAACTGCACTGAAGCGGCTGTGGCTCACTTACAGTGAGTGCTGCGCTTTAACCCGCTGTGCCACCAGGGAGGCTCTAGTTGTTTGTTTTTATGTCATAGTTTTTCCAATTTCATAGCTCAAGAGTTCCCCATCTGCTATTTCTGAGAGGTGTTCAAATTAAAGTGATTTGTTTTAGCATTTCATCTAATTTCCCACCCCCTACTTTAAGTTTTTTGTTTGTCTCTATCCTACTTATAATTTATATTCTACTCCAAATTGTGGGCAAAGTTTGGACAAAGTTAGGTGTAGTGGTTTGTTTTGCAGGGGAGCTTTGGCTGGAAAGGTTTGAGAATTCATGTCCCAAAGCACCTCAGCTCCTTTACTTATGATTGTAGATACTGTCTACAGATTTAAATTTTTGCTACAATATGTTCCTTTTATGGGAATGTTTGTGAAAACTCAAAACCACTTAACTGCCATTTTCTAAGAATCCTGAAAGAGAACTTAAAAATATCTCCCATTGATTCAAGTCACAACAAGCTCAATCAGAAAGACTTTAAGTTTCTTTTATCACAATTTTTTTTTGGCTTTACCATATGCTCTTTTCCCTCCCTCCCTTCTAAATCAGAACAAATCTTTCACAAAGGGTGATTTATATCCCATCATTCAAGGTATAAAAATAAAAGAATTACGGGGCCTCTGTGGTGGCGCAACAAGTTAAGAAACAGCACAGTGAAGTTGTCTGCAGCCACTGCAGCACAAATTCAATCCCCAAACAGGAAGGAGACCCACATGGTACAGCAGACTTCTCCTGTCTCACCTGCTGTCCCTGCAAATTGACTTTGTCAATCTACCTGTTCTGCTCCCCACTCTATCTATGGTGAATCCTCTCATCCCCCACACCTGTGGCCTGTACCCCAGTTCTGTATGCATAAACAAATAAATCTTTTAAAATAAATAAATAAAATAAACTCAAATTTCAGTATATTTTCTGCCCTTTGTTTGGCTTCATATATATGGAAGAAACAAAAGTGATGGTAAAAACAGTACATTTTCTTTTATCCCCACATAGGAAACTATTTAAGGTATCACAACAAGATTACAATAATATCTGTAGTTATCTGATATCTCTATATTTGTTTGGAATAAAACAATATGGTAATAAAAATAGATTATTTCGTGCTCAAACATGTTTTATAGTCCAGCCACAAATTTCTACATAAAACCCCTACATTACATGAAAAAACATTTTGGCAGTTGTATTAATTAGCACTCACTTTCTATGCAATGGGTACAAATTAATGACTATAGGACCAGGCACATAATATAAGTGAAAAAAGTGGACTGACAGTAAGGAAAAAAAAGTTATGTGAAAAAGTAGAAAATTAGGTTTTAAATTGGGAAAAAAAACCCACTTAAATTTCATACTTCACTTCATAATTCACTATTACTTGGAATAGTTAATTCTTCTGACTTAGAATCTCAAACTATATAATTTGGTGGGAAAATAGGGCATTATGATAATGTTGGCTCTAATATTTAGCACTACTCATGCTACACAGAATATATAGTCTTGAATCATTTCAAATGGGGAGGAATGGACACCTGATGCAGAAGAATCAGGTATATTCAAACACTGACAGAATTTTGAAGGGTGGTTTGTGTATAGGCCATCTACTCTCAGGATACTGACACAATTCTTGTAACTTAATGTCACCATTAGTTTTCAGTACTATATTGTCAAACTTTGGCTTAGTAATTTATCTTATAGGTCTTCAGTTTATTTTATCAAAATTAATTACAAAAGCAGTATTAACAATGTTAATTTTAACTAATGTTAATTTTAGTAAATTATTACTTTTTTTCTCTGAAGTTGACATCAGAGTACCTATTCAGAACTGAAGCTATCAGAGACACTTATGGATACAAACTGCAAAGTAAAAAGCTGAGTCATGTTATTCCTTATCTAACATATTTCCTAGAAGATATATTTTATGGGGGGGGGAGTGAATAAATTAACTCATAAAATCACAATATACAAAGTGTTTCAATTGTATTGCCAACCTGATAAACTGACTCTCTGGGAAAGTACTAACTGATGAGGTAAAGATAGTTCCCTGAATGATATTAAAATTATCTTTCCCCAAAAAAGGTTTCCTAGCACCACACTATGACCAAGCTAAGGCTAAGAAAACCTTTTATCCTTCTGAGAAACTGGCTATATTTTTTAAGATTTATTTATTTATGCATACAGAACTGGGGTACAGGCCAGAGGTACAAGAGCCGTGAGAAGATTCACCAGAGACAGATTGGGGAGCAGAACAGGCAGACTGACGAAGTACACTGCTGAGGGGAGCAGCAGGCAGGTCAGGAGAGGTCTGTTGTACCATGTAGGTCACCTCCCTGGCTAGGAATCAAACTTGTGCTACAGTACTTTAGAAAGCTTCACAGTGCTGTGACTCAGTGCCTGTGCCACCAGGGAGGTCCCACCCAATGTAATTTCAAAGTTAAGTACTAGGAAGAGCAATTAATTTACCAAGGAAATTTTTTGTGTCATAGTCTTCTAGATTTCAACTACACAATGAAGTCTCCCTTCAAAGTCAGTGTCAAATTCAAGATCTCCTAAAAGGATAGTTATCTTAAATTTCTATCACTGTGACTTTTTTTTCCTTCAAATTCAAGTTGGTTTTGATCTTAATTGTGTATGAGACTAAGAACAGACATGAACTCATGAACACATTAATAAATATTATTGAGTCGAAGCACAGAACTAATCATTTGGAATGCTATTTTAAAGATCTGGAAAATTAAATAGAAAGTTTAGACTACTTTAAAATTGTTAGGCTTTACCTGAGTTTTTTTTTCCCCCAAATACCTGAAAAGAATTTTTCAAATAAAAATTTGGTTTACAAAATCACCACAATTATTTGAAATCCTAACAGCACTGGTCAAAAAATATAAAAATCAGGATTTCTGTGAAAAGCAATGCTTAAGATGTAGGGACATTCTATGCTACATTAAAAGGCATAATATATTATTAGTTTTAAACAAGGACTGCAACCACAGAATGACTTTATAAATGATTCCTTCAAAGCAGCAAATAAGTAAGAATGTATCACTACCAGCTTTTAACTGGAATTACAGAAAAAAACTAAAAGCAAGGACAGAAAATTTAAGGAAAGTAAATTCTTTCCCCTGTCATGTTTATCAACAAAAAATATTAACTAAAATAATCTTAAAGACAAGATTTCAACTGGCTTCTTTCTTCTAGTAAAAATACGACATGGCTCTGTTCTTCTAGAGTGGTAATGGGTTATCTTTTTAGTGAAGGCAAATTAGAACATTCAGTCAGGAAATCAGGTTTAATAATTATGATTATTACAGACTTTAGTATATTAAATGCAGCCCAAAACAAAACCCCAATTCTAAAGTGGGGAAAGAACTTGAATATTTTTTCAAAGATATACAAATGGCTATTAAATACACAGAAGTGTTCAGCATCACTAGTCATTAAGGAAATGCAGATCCAAACCATAATGCGACAGCACTTTACAACCATCAGGAACGCCCTTAAAAGTAACAACAAAAAAATAGGTAATGCAAAGAGACTGGAACCTTCATGCATTGCTGGTGAGATTGTAAAATAGCATAACAGCTGTGGAAAGCAGTACAGTTGAGTCCTCAAAATGAAAAAATGAACTATCATGTGAGCCAACAACTCTACTTTTACCACAGTATTTTTAAAAAGGGTTCATTAAGTATCTTTGTATTCTTAAGCTAGGAAAAGATTAGCTACTGGGGATGTAAAATTTTTAAATTTAGAAATTTCAAGTTTTCCATAAAAGAGCAAAGTACTGAATTGGTTGTTTTCCTTTTTTTTTTTTTTTTTGATTAAAAAGAAATCAACTTCCTTTTACAGGAAGGCATGCAAATTTTTGAAATTAGGATAGAATTCAGGTTTATGTACTTGGGAAGAAGAATGGAAGAAAAGAAGAAGTTACAAAACAAAGCAAAACAAAACACACAAAAAAAAACCTTGTTTAGGTGTTTCTCCCTCCTTTTTAGTTTCTTCATCCTCTAAGCTAGGACTTTCCCGGGAAGAGTTGTCTTGTTGGCTAGAGCTTTTCAATAGTACAGGATCGATTTGTGCTTTCAGGAGTGCAAGAGTCTCAGCCAACTCATTTCGATTTCTAAACAGGAAAAAAGACAATATGAAAAGTTCATCTTTTCTGAAGAGTTTTTTGAGTAACTTATTAGGAAGCAAAATTTTGAAAAAGAAAAATACATAAGGAACATTCACAACTTTGTTTACTGCAGCACTATTTACAACAGGTAAGATATAAAAACAACTGAAATGCTCAAAAATAGATGACTGGATCAAGAAGATATGGTACATGTACACAAAGGAATACTCTCCAGTAATCTAAAAAGATAAACTCATGCCATTCACAGCGAGATGGATGGAGCTAGAAGGGGTTATCCTCAATGAAATAAGCCAGAGTGAAAAAGAAAAATAGAAGACTATAGGGAAACCAAATAAGATATCAGGGAAAAAATAATAATAAACAAACATTCCACAAGGTAGGTGGAGGCAGAGGTATTAGAACAGGGGAGAGAAGAGCACAAGGGACTATGGTGATGGCTCACAGGTGAACTGGTGGTGGGAATTTTACAGTTTCTACACCTGAAAGTAGAAAACATGCAAGCATACGTTACAAAAATGTACAATTATGTTATATATGTGTGTGTCTATGTATTTTTTTAAAAAAACATTAAAAACACTAGTAATCAATCTGAATTAAAAAAATAAGTATTAGGAATGAATACAGATTAAAATATACTCCTCTCCTCTCCAAAGAAGAATCTTATGACTACTATCTCTATTGAGTAGAACAGCAGCAGTGTTCTATTCATTTTTTTTTTTCTGGTTGAAACTAATAATAAAGTCAGATAAAAATCTAATTTTTACATTTTTATACGATCTCTAAGAAATACAGAATCAGTACATAATTTGCTTAAAGAAAATTGTAGATGCATCTAAAAATAAGAATTCTTTTCCACCTCTGGAAACATTTTGAAATTGTTAATAAGTTATGATCCATGTCTTCCTGAATATTAAGGCAAAAAGCTTGAAGATAAAGTTCAAATTATAAGGGTTTAGACTACTAATTTTGTTTTGATAATTACAGCTTAAAACTACAGGAAGGAAATTCAACTTGAATCAAAAATACAAGGAAACCTCAAACAAATAAGATTGTAATCTATAAATTCTCTATTTTTACTATTCACACCAGAGATGAGTTAAGGTCAACCTAAATGCACTGACAAGTAAGAAAACTTTCCTGTGAGTATCTGTCCCAGTCAGACAAGCAATGTGTAAAGGAGAAGATAAAAAGAAAACCCTGGACTCAGAGGCACATGCCCTAATGGAACTTTTATTGTAACTGCATTGAACATACAGATTATGGGAAGCACTGGTATGTTGACAATATTGTGTTCCTACTATGTTTTATATCAGATTCCACATATTCATTGATGGTATCAGTCCATGTTTTTGTGTCAATCTTGTATCCTGTAAGGCTGATATAATCACACATTGTTCCCAAGAGTTCTAGGGTTGATTCTTTTAGATTTTCTACATACGTGTCATATCATTTATAAACACAGTTTTATTTTATTTCTTCCTCCTTAATCTGTACATATATTTTTTTAAAGATTTATTTATTTTTACTTATTCATACAGAACTGGGGTACAGGTCAGAGATGTGGAAGGTGAGAAGATTCACTAGAGACAGAGCGGGAAGCAGAACAGGCAGATCCATGAAGTACACTGCTGAGGGGAGCAGCGGGCAGGTCAGGAGAGGTCTGCTACACCATGTGGTCACCTCTGGGGCAGGCGGGAATCGAACTCATGTGGAAGTGGCTTTAGATTCTCAGTGCTGTGCTTTAACCCACTGCGCCACCAGGGAGGGCTAATCTGTACATATTTTATTTCCTTTTCTTAATGCATTAGCTAGGAAATTCTACTATGAGATTGAAGAGATATGGTAAGAGGGGATATCCTTGTCATGTTCCTGATCTTAGTGGAAAGGCTTTGTTTCTCCACCATGAAGTAAACTTTGGTTTCTTGGTTCTTTTTTTGTTTTTTAAAGATTTATTTATTTATTTAAAGATTTATTTATTTATTTATGGGGTACAGGCCAGAGGCGCAGGTGTGGTGAGAGGATTCACCAGAGACAGAGTGAGGAGCAAAACAGGCAGATGGAAGAAGTACAGTGCTGAGGAGAGCAGAGGGCAGGTCCGAAGAAGTCTGCCATGCCATGTGGTCATCTCCAGGGTGGGGATAGAACTCATGCTGAAGTGGCTTTAGCTTCCCAGTGCTGTGCTTTAACCTGCTCCGCCACCATAGAGGGCCTTCTTGGTTATTTTTTTTAAGATTTATTTATGCATATAAGAACTTGGGTGTTGGCTAGAGGTGCAGGGGTGGGGTGGGGTGGTGTGGTGTGTGTGTGTGTGTGTGTGTGTGTGTGTGTGTGTGTGTGTGTGTGTCAGAGGATTCCCCAGAGACCAAGTGAGAGACAAACAGGTGGACTGAAATATACTGCTGACGGGAGCAGCAGGTTAGACAAGAGAGGTCTGCTGTGCCATGTGGGTCAGCTTCTTGACCAGGGTTGAACTTATGTTGCAGTGGCTGCCAAGAACTTCATAGTTCTAAGACTTATCCCCTTGTGCCCAGTAAACTTTTTTTTTTAATAGTTATTCTTTCTCGGCTCTCCCTGGTGGTGCAGCGGGTTAAACACTGCACTAAGAAGCTTAAGCCACTTCCGCATGAGTTCGATCCCCGCCTGCCCTGGAAGTGACCACATGGCGTGCGTGGCAGGCCTCTTCTTACCCGCCCACTGCTCCCCTCAGCAGTGTACTTCGTCGATCTGCCTGTTCTGCTCCCCACTCTGTCACTGGTGAATCCTCTCACCCTCGGCATCTCTGGCCTGTACCCCAGTTCTGTATGAGTAAATAAATAAATCTTAAAAAAAAAAAGTTATTCTTTCTCAAGCTCAGAAGTTGCTCTCTATTTCAAGTTTATTGTTATTATTATTATTATTAAATAATCATGTGGGTGGTTGTATTTTGTAAACCAGTTTTCCTATATTTCATGATTTTTTTTCTCTTATAGTCCATTTAGTGTGACAAATTAGATTAATTTAAATACTGAAAAGTCTTGCATATCTGTAATAAATTCCACATGATAGTAGTGTATTATGCTTTTTATATGCTGCTCATTGGGTTTCACTTGCTATTATTTGAGAATTTTTACATTTCAAGTCATGAGAAACATTAGTCAATAGTCTTCTTTCTTGCAATGTCTCTTATTTGGGTGTTAATGTTGGCCTCAGAGAATGAGTTAGGAAGGATTCCTTTCCCTCTGATATCAAATAGAAATGGTATTATTATTTCCTTAAATGTCTGATAGAATGTTAGAGCATTAACGTTCTAGTGCTGTTCTGAATGGTTATTAATTATTGACCCAATTTACTTAATAGATAAAGACCTGTTCATATTACCTATTTCTACTAGTATGAATCTTGGCAGATTGTGTGTCATGGGGTTGGTACTAATATCCCCTCTTTCATTTCTAATATTGGTAATTAGTGTCATTTTACTTTGGGCTGGTCAGAGACTACATTTTGCTGGTGGTCATTTCAAAGAACTAGCCTATGCTTTCTATGCATTCAATGCTATAAATTTGTCTCCACTTAACCTAATGAAAAATATTTAAATTCAACTTTTAAATTAAAAAAAAAAATCAACAATCTATTTTGATAACTTGCTCTTACCTTACTGAGTTCCTAAAGGGATTTTTTTTTTTTTTTGCTATAAGATAACTCTTCTTAAAAGCTCCACTTAACCTAACCCTGCAAGTTTAGAAACTGCTTTTGACAGCCTTAAGAAAATCATTTATCTGTAATAAATGCATACTAATCCATATGTTCTTGCTTCTGTAAGCTGAGTTTGGGTTTCTATAAGCCCAAAATTTGTATGTACTGACCCTGGCTCAGTTCTTAAGGGAATATCTCCTAGGTGTGCTTTAACTGTTTAAAGATAATTATAGCTTCCTAATTTCTTCTAGACGCATTTTAATTCATTCAGTCATCGTCTTCATGGTTCTTCCAAAAAGTATAAACTACATTAAAAATTCTCATCTGGCATCAAAGTCTAATAAATACCATATCTAAGATATATAAATTATACACTATGGTCAAGTGAGATGTTGTCCCACATCCCACTGACTATACACTATTAATTAGGATTTCAATTTTTGAGGAGTCAAGACTAAAAATGTTCTCCACATAGTTTCACAAAACTGCAATCCAGTATGAACAAGACAGCTCACTGAATTTGCCAAGGGCCTCCCTGGTGCCAAGGGGTTAAATCTCAGTACTACCACAGGATGGCCTGGGTTCAATCTCTGACCAGGGAGTTACTCATGTTGGCACAGCAGACCTCTCCTGTCTCACCCACTGCTCCCCTTACAGTGTATTTTCAGTTTGCCTGCCCTGCTCCTCACTGTCTCAGGTGAATCCTCTCTCCCACAACCCCACCTCTGGCCTGGATCTTAGCTTTTCTACACAAAGATAAAAATAAAATAATAATTTTTTAAAAAGTTCACTGTGTCAATGAATTAAACCTAACTGAAATATCATGTCTTAAGACTCTTCATTTATAAGAATCAAGGAAAATAATTGAGACTTCGAGGAAAACTATGGTACTTCCCAGAAAGCACACAAAGTCAATACAAGAGCTACTATTGACAATATAAGGGATTTTCATAGGAGCCTGAAGCTCATTTAGATTCTTGAGCTATATTATTCACCATTTCTTCCCCACTGTTCAGCAGTATCCAATACACAAAAGGTACACAATATAAACGTGTTAATGTGATAAATGAACATATGTGTAATAATCAGATTTTCAAAATTTGGCTTTAATTCCTGAAATTTGAGTCAATATAAAACCAAGAGTTTCAGAATGACCTCAAATACTACCACATATTTAGAAATAGTTGCCTGGCATGTTTGCAAATAGTAATATACATACCTTAGATGATCTTCAAAAAGCTTAAAAATAATCTGGCACCAGTTCTCCAAAAAAATTGTAGTTTAGCATGAGGAAACTGTTCACACATTCTATATAAACATTTGTTTCTGAACAACTGCTAGTTTTATGTTGACCCTAAACCCAATTTTATACTGGGAAGGTTTTGTTTTGAAGTCTGAAGTAGTACAAGACACGAAACCTTTAAAAATAGTCAAGGATGAGAAGAGGTAACAGCAACACCAACAGAGCTTTAACCTTTCCTCCTTCTGCTGATTAATACTTTCTTCAGAAACTAAATTTCAACCTCTGGGTTCAGAAATGTTACCAAAGTCAGAAATGAACAAAAAATGGGATAGAGGGGTTGGTGGTAGGGGATGCAAACTCCCACAAGAGGCAGTAAAGAACACAGGGTTTGAAACATGGCACGTGAAGTGGACAGACAAATTATCAGCACTGTAGAACCCCTGATCAGCAGGCACAACCTAGATGAATGAATTAGTGTGAAAATGAGAAATAACAGAGAGCTCTGAGGCAGATAACATACTTATCATCAACATTAAATCTGATTTTGGGAGACATGGAAGAAACTGAGCCTACTATAGAAACTGATTAGAAAACCTATGAAGAAATATGTAAGTCAACAAAACAGAATATTCCAAGGCTCTCTGTCTGGTGAGGTGGCTGAAAAAAGTAACTTATCCTGTGTGGAAAATAGGAGACTGTAATCACCTCTTTAAATGTTTCTCTTCAAAAGAGAAGCCTGCATATATGCTGATATTAAGAAATCATAGTCTTCTCCTACTCCTGAAAATAGTTGATTTGCAGATAACTCACAAATTCTTAAGCTAAATGGCATTTTTATTTTTCACTAACCTTTCTAATAAATGTTTTAGTTTGTTTTCTTTTTTATTTAGAAAAAAAAAAAGGACAAAAGGAGTGAATTTTTAACTGAGCATATACTATGGCCCTAATGTCATTTCTCATCTATCCCTCACAACTTCATTGGAGAAGTTTTATCATCCTCCAATTTTAAAGTTCAGGAAAGAGACATAGAGAAAGCAAGTAATCTGCCTAGAAACACTAAGCAGATAAGCTGATTAAAATAATATTAATTCTAAAATCTACATTCTTTCTCTCTTCTAATACATCTTGGATTAGTACAATCTACTTCAAACAGTTTTATGCCTACATGACTTAATCAATAATAATCATAATTATTTTTCTCTATCATACTTTCTTCATCTACAAGGTAAATCGAAGTTGAGCATCCCTAACCCAAATATTCCAAATTTCTATTATTTCTTCAAAATATTAGTAAAGAATCACTAACAAAAATCTGTTGAAATTCAAAACGAGTAAAAACAGATATATATTAAAGCTGTTGGAGTTTTCCATTAAGTCAGTTGTTAGATATCCAGTAGTACTCTATAAATAAACTTGATCCCCTGACTTTTCAAAATTAACATACATTTTAAGTACTAACAGGACACATTTTAAATAGAAAATCAAAGCAAAGACAGAATTTGAACAACAGTCTCAGCGTCACTCAGATTTTAAAAAACTGTTTTTCAAGGTTTTACATTAGTTTCTGTTCAAATACATTTGCTGACAAAAATAAGAAATTAAGTTGTTTTTTTAAATCTTAAAAAAAGGACTGGCAAAAACAAAACACTTGCTCCTCCGATTTCTTCAGAACTCCAGTGAATGCATGCACAGCAAAGACTAAGAACCAGTATGCATTATTTATCATATACTGGTTTCCTGAATATATGTGTCAAGGACAAATTATTTAATTAATAATTAGTTAAGCACCTACTATTAGTAATGTGCTAGTACTACTTAGGCCTGGGAAATTCCCTAGCTCCATGAAAAAAAAAAAAACTGCTCCTCTAGCCTCAGAGCTTACATTCTGTTAGAGAAGAGATCAAAGTAAGAACACACAAATAAATATAAATGAAATTTCAATAAAAGATACCTGACAATGCATTTCCATGAAGACCCATCTTGATCATCTTGTTCTTCTATGTACATTCTGACATTATGATCTTGATCCAACTGGTACCAGTACATTAGGCCATCTTTGTCTCGGCCAATTGGCTGGAGACGCATGGTATCGGCATCCTCCTCATTGATAATATTCTTGAACTTGAGATTGTCATCAAACTGACACTCACAGAGGTACTGAAAAATAGTGATAGTATGGTTTAAAATACTTTATGCAGAAATTTTACTCTATTAGATTAAATGTCGTATGTTCAATCAGAATGGAATGAGTAACAAGAACAAACAGAATATATGTATTTTATTCATTTGCTATCTTCTCCTTACATTTTTACACACTGTGCTTAAAATAACCAGTTTTTTTAATTAATATTTTATTTTAGTATTACTATAGAAATTATAATTTACAGGTTTAACACAACCAAGGACACAAAAATGAAACACATTTCAAAAACACTGAGTCTTTGCACTAAAGTCTCCCAAACTATCTCATGGTATATTTTCTCTTTCCCACCTCCAACATTTTAAAAGGACAGGTTTATAAGGAAAAGGAGAAGAAAGAGAAAAGGCATCTGCATAGTCACAGGCGGGCAGGAGAGCTGCCTTTACCCAATGCAGAAACCGTACTAATCACAGTATAACATTTTCAATGATCCCTTCCCTCTTAAGTCTTTTAAAACATGATTGATTGAAATGGCTATCTGTTTTGGAACAGCTGAGACATATACAAGGAAGGTACTCTCATTGATGCCACTGATCAACTCTCTTAATAAAAAGATAAGTTAAAGAAATTTTTTTTTTATGATTATGGTACAAAGTGGGATTTCTTCCCTAAGTTTCTCTGTCTCACAGAGAATACATGAAATTATTATCAAAGTATTTTATTTTAGCCTTTGCCTGTGCTGTCTACTCCAATAATATCTTTTCCACAATAAGAACTTGTCCTTTGTTATGCTGGGGCACCATGCTACAATTAATTAGAACCAACACTCTTAAATAGGCAGAAGGAGAAAGAAAGCTCATATATGAAAATAAATCTACTTTGAGAAGACCTTTAATCAAGTAGGATTGGTTATGTAAGAATTTTATTAAATACACATGGCATGCCACTATTCATCTGGAAAACTAGTGATCAGATTACTAATTTAGTAACTCGATAGAAGAGTAATGGTAGCTTTTAGCAGTGATTATAAGTGCTAAAAACAATAAGTAAAACTAAGTATAAAAATGTTGACTTTCCAGATATTTTCCAATTCAATCAGTAGTCAAAAGTTGAATTTTAAAATTAAAATGATTATTACCTTTAAGAGTGCTAGTTTGCATTCAACACTCATTTCAAGATAGCCCTTCTTCTCCATCTCCCATGCCCAGGTGCTATTAAACTCTTGGCATATCTGTCAAAAAACGGTAATATTTCAATATATAAAAGCAATTTCTTTTTACAGGGTGGCAGTTTCATTGTATGATTATGGTAACTGTTCTTGTTAATACATATTTGCAAAGAAATGTACTCCAAACACAAGTCAGCCCAATTCCACCTTAAAAGGCATACTACTTAAACACACCAGAAATGTTTACTATTGCATGATGGCTGGATTTAAAGAAAGAAGTGAATCCTATAGCTGTCTCATTTCCCTAGAATTTTATGTCACATCTACCAAATACAAATAATTATCTGATTCTTCAATCTCTCCAAACAACAAGGAGTTCCTCAAGAGTAGGGAAAACAGTTTATTCATCATTATGCCTGGAGTAGAGGGGAAGTTAAAAAAAAAAAACAAAACTTCAAATTATACGTGTTTTTAAATTCACCATCTCAACATCCTTTGATTTGTGAGTAAAGATTCCATTATTTGGCATGTAAAACCTTCTATGATGAAACATTTAGCTTAAATTTTGAGTTTTCTTTTTTCATGTAAGCATTTCAGGCAAGTCAAAGTCACTGTAAGAGGCTGAGGAAAGTAAAAATTTGTATAACCGCTCCACTAAATAATAGGACTAATAAGGAAAAATTCCATGTGCTGCTTACTTTTCTAGCAATGGAAGGTGGAGAGAACTAACAATTATCTCACAGGTCATAGAACAAGAATGAAAAACTGTAAAGTGCCTTGCTACTTCCTATTTTTTCCCCAATCCAAGGAGCAAAGTGTAGCATTTAACAACTGACTAGTATCTCAATAGGGGCAAAAAAAAATTAGAGGGACAGCAAAGGGGTAAGAAACAACACAGGGGCCCTCCCTGGTGGCGCCAACAGGTTAAAGTGCAGCACTGAGAAGCTGGCCTGGCCGCTTCAGGATGAGCTGGATACCGGCCCAGAGGTGACCCACATGGCATGGCAGAACTCTCGTCTTGCCTGCTGCTCCCCTCATTTCATCAATCTGCCTGTCTGCTCCCCGCTCTGACTAGTAAATCCTCTCACTGTCCCTGCACTTCTAGCCTGTACCCCAGTTTTGTATGCATAAATAAATAAATCTTATGGAAAAAAAAAAAGAACACAAAGCACGAGGCTATCCAGGGGCTTGGGTGGTTAACTAAGTGAGAAAGGAAAAACACAAGCAGGCAAGCAGGACTGCTTATGTAATCACCTTAATCTAGGAATAAGACCATGCTCGTCCTTCTAGGAGAGAGGGCTACATTTTTCTCTATCCTACATCTATGTCGTATTTTTACTAAAACCAATTTGTATAACACATTCAGAGGAGAACATGGTTAGGATAAAAAGGAATATAAGGCAAGCAATATGGACAGAACTATACAATGGGAGATCTTCAAAGGCACAAAGGAAGAATTCATTCTCTACCATATTCCTCTGACTGACAGCACTATAGTATGTAGAGAGGGGGGAAAATTTTGAGATACACAGAACATTTTTAGAATATTGCCTAGGAAGATCGCAATCTAAATAGACATTTTGCTAAAGAAAATATACAAGTGACCAATAAGCACAAGACAAGATGATCAATCAGGGAAAGCTAATCAAAACCACAATGCAGTATCACTTCATAACCACTAGGACTATTGTAATTGAAAAAGACAATAGCAAAGATAGGTGGGGCTAAAAGAGCTTTTATAACACACATATACTGTTGATAGGAATGTAAAGTGGTACAGTCACTTAGGAAAAAGTCTGGTAGTTCTTTATATGTCCAAACCAAAGTGTGTGCAGATGTTCATAACAATATTATTTGTAATAGCCAAAGGCAGAAACAACCTAAATTCCATCAGCTGATAAATGCATAAATATGTAGTAAATCCAAATGGATTTCACACAGCCATAAAAGGAGTGATGAACTGATATGTGTTTCAACATGGATGAACATTAAAAACATTATATAAAGTAAAAGAAAGCAGATGTAAAAGGTCACATATTGTATTATTCTGTATTTATGTTGTCCACAACAGTCAATCCACATACATTGAAAGTAGATTAGTTGTTGCCAGGTTTAGACAGCAAAGGGAACCATGAGTGATTGTCAACGGGAGGGAGATCACTTTTTGGAGTGATGAAAATATTCTAGAATTAAGACAGTAGTGATGACTGCACATCTTACCTTTGTGAATATACTACATATCACTGAACTAAGTATTTTGAAAGGATCAGTCTTATTGTATGTGACTAACATCTCAGTTTAATAAAATAGAGGGATACCAATAATGCAGAGCCTACCTGATGACTTGGTTTAAGTATTTATTGGGTATTCTTCTGTATGCCAGACTCTAAAGGAAGAGGATGCTAGCTGAGTACCCTAAGGGCTAACGCTGTTAGTGGGAAAGCTCATCCTCATTAAACGGAGGGATGAAGAATGACATAGTACCACAGACCAGTGAACAACCTGGGTATCTAAAGATACAGCATCAATACAACTCAACAGCTATTGATTAGCACTTACTGTGTGAGAGAGGGAAAGAAAGAGATAAAAACAGACATAATTAAAATACAGCCTCTGTCTCCACACTACTTAGCTTCAATTTATTGACTTTATTTATAGTGTTCAAGGTGAACCCTTTGTTGCACTGATATTCAGAGACAAATATCCTACGCATTATAGGGTTATGGTGTCTATCAAGTAAAGGCATTATGAATATATTACTGAGCTATTTGAGGTGAAAAAGAGAAAATACTAATTACACAGGCCCAAAGAGATAAAACCTATTGTCACCACAAAGTAAACACACTGCAAATCAAACTTGCAAATACAGAGAGTACTCATTTTAGTTCTTATGCAGGACTATTTAATATAAGCCAGGGGTTATGACATTTACTCTGTTAAAAGTCAAACAAGAAATAATCTAGGCTTTGTGGGACAATGGTCTCTTCTTCAATTGTTCCAATCAGCTGTTAAGAATGCAATGCAGACTTAGAAAATATGTAAATTAATGATCCTGGCTGTGCTCTAGTATCTCTGTATTCATAAATATGGAGATCTTAATTTCATATCATTTTCATACATTAGCTATTTATTTAAAGAAGGAAAGTCCATTCTTCTTTTTTGAGTCACATATAAACAGGTAGCAGGCCAGATTTGGCCCACAGGCCAAATTTTTGTCTTCTATGCCAAAAACTCGCTGTGTCTATCAGAGCCACCCTACAATAGTTGAAACAAGAGGTCCCTATTAGTTTAGTTATTTACGATAACTCCCACGCTTCAATTTGATTCTGATCAAGCAGCCTTGCAACTGTGATTCGGTTTGCATGCACTTTCTCTCTAGACAATGTTCTAATATCTGTAACATGAACATTTTAGTGTAACATGTATATGTATCACAATGTTAATAAATTATTATTCCCTAATACTAGTTTTATGTTTGAGTCTCTCTAAATCTGGTTATTAACAGGTCATTTCCTATTGTGTCCCTCTGCATCACTGTGCTTAAGGGACAGTTCTTCTGTTATACAAACAAAAGTAGAGTTCTGTGCCTGCAAGCATGAACGCCTCTTGGCCTCCTGACTGCTGTGATTCCAGTCCTCCCTCCCTGGGTCTTTTCCTCCTCACTGTGACACACAGAAAATCAGGCTGAGTATAGAAAATGTTGGAGGAAGAAGGAAAGGGATGAAGACATTTGAAGAGTCAAAAGCTTAATTTATAGGAAAGGTGGTTTCACCTACCTTACACAGCTAATACATGGAATTTATCTCAATGAGATCGTTGACATATTTATCTTGTTATTATATACACAATCAACAATAATCCTTTTCTTTTTGACAATTTAGAATATAAGTCATCAGTGGAGGGAGAGGGGGTAGTGAGAAAGTGCTATAAAATTTTCAGCAAGAATGTCCAAATCCCTGTATTGAGAGATCAGATAAAATTCTAGCATGGCTTATAGCAGCTTAAAGATAGGGTCCTTAAGCATTCTTATCTAACAATTCAAGACTGGCAAAAGAATTCACTGTTTTCCACCCAATAGCTGATATAGACACCTGGCCTTCCTTTCTGATTTATTTAAAAAACAAAGGAAACCTACAATTGTAAATCTTTCTTCTGTCCCTTTGAAACATGTATTTATCTCCTAAAAAAGAACTGTCTTTCCCAAGGACCTGAACACCATCCCTTGTGTAAACTGTATAAACTGTAATCATCAGGAAGGGTAGGGTCTCACAATTCTGAGAAGGAAGAAAGGCTAACTTCCATATCAGCAGTCATCAATAGCTAAAACAGTGCCACCTTCATACCTGCTCTTTATAATTTTCATTTCTCTAATTCTGTCTGACCCCCTTCTTCCCTCACTTCCCTTTCCTAGTTCCTCATTTTCCATCTAAAATACCATTCAGCTCTGGACAAACTGAAACTTAGTTCAGCTCTTTATCCTATCATGAGTAGTTAGTTACCATAACACCAATAGCTTGTGTCTAGAATGAACTTCAAGGAAGAGTCCTTGAAGATCATCCAAGTGGAAAACGGAATTATTTTACAGTTGAGAAACATGAACTATAAAAGAATTCATTTATTCAATGATACCACAAAAATTTACCAGGTGCCTACTCTATGGCAGGAAGCACTTAAGGGTTTGGGATGCCACAGTAAGAAAGACAGGCAAC